AATTTGATGCAGTCCCATTCTGCAGCTGGTGAATCAGAACACAGCTCTAGCTGGCAGTGGGGTAGCATTGAAAGATCAAAAACTACAGGAGGTGGAGGGAAGGGATTCTCACCTGCCAGGGCTGCATTTCCACATTTCTGTGGTAAAAAGATCTCAAATAATGAGGTGATGCAGCATTCAACAAGCCTTAAGGTGGCAGTACATACTCAGGTAGTGAACTCAGAGTTGCAGAAACACTCTTACCCTGCATAAAGGCCTCTTAAATCCTCATATTTGGTACCTAATTACTCCCACCTAGTTAAGTTCTGCTAACATTTCAGCCAAACTTGTATCATCTGTGAGACACTAAAATAAAACCCTATAAAACAACACTGAAGAGGTAAGAAAATCCTCTCAACCCAAACTGTTGAGGCCAAGCTCAGAAAAGTATGGAAAAAAAAAAAAAAAAGAAGTTCACAAAAGTTCAGCAAAAGTTCATAGAAGTTGTGACACTGGATTTTGAGCAGCACATGAACACCCTCCACATGTTTATGAGTGCAGAGACTGAAGTCCACAAGCCCAGCCCATTCCAAAGGTGAGATAGCAGGAGAAAGTCAAGCAAAAGTACAATGCTGAGTGCCACGGTTGTAAGCTGGAAACAGTACAGAAAATATCTGAGCTAAGGGAATCCATGATTATCTCTCCTGTAAGCCTACAAATCCTGGCAGGCAGCCTGTACCTCTTATTAACCCCCTAAATCCCTTTTAAATTCAGAGGGTTTGTCTACAAAAAAGAAAATCTGCACCTCTTGAGAGGGTGATTTGGGGTTTTTTGGGCCATGGTGTGAAAAAATACTCCCCTTTGTTTGCTCTAAGCTTGCTGCATCTCAATGTTAGTCACAGGACAAATACTGGGAGAAACTATCAGTTCCCCTTGCAACTTAAGCTACGATTTTCCAGATTTTACAGACCTCTGCCATAATTATTTTCATAGGTTTAGTTGTGAACTTTATTCCCTCTCTGCTTTCCTAGCCTGAGTGCCAAGTTTGAATTGTCTTAAAAATCCTCCATTTTTACTGTGTGAGATTGGGCTTTTTCTGAAATATCAGACTTATTTCAGCATTTTGTAAAGCAAATATCTGAAAAACCCAACAGGAATAGTTATTATTAAAAATAGAATCCATGAGGAGACTCTGCAAACCACAAAATCTATTTGAAAACACATTAAAAAAATGGCTGACATGAATTAATTTTAGAAGAATAAAGTAACTTATACTTTGTTTCTTCAATGCTGGATAGAAATTTAACTAAGGAACATCACTGGCCTGGAATACATGAGATGGAAAAATGGGCCTATAAAAGCCTCATGAAGGTCAGCAAAGGCAGATGCAAAGTTCTGCCTCTGGAATGGAATAATTCGCTGTCATAGGATCACAGGACAGGTGCACTACAGCTTGAATGCAGGAGATGACAAAAAATTAAAGAAAAAAGTGAGATTGACAGTGACAGGACAAGAGGCAACAATCACTGCAACACGGAAAATTCAAACTGGATGCAGGAATCAATTGGATATAATAAGGTGTGTTCTCTAGAGGAGATACTTAAAACTGGACAAAAGAGAGAAAGGAACAAGCTGACCTGGATATATTCTGACAAGAGGTTCTCAGAGAGGCCTCTAATGTCCTTCCAGGTGACAATGTTTGATGAGCCTATGACAAGCCAAAGCACAGGAAAAGGAAAAAACAAAAACAAAACAAAACAAAAAAAACAACAACAACAAAAAAAACCAACAACAACAACAAAAAAAAAGACAATTGTTGAGGAAATCAGCCAGATGATAAATGGAGTGCTCCTCAAAACAAAGTGTGTCTTGCACCACACCAAGAGCTGACTCCAAAGCAAAAGCTGCCTTGGAGCAGAGGCACAGGACCAATGGAGAGTCTCACAGAGCTAATTCCATATACAACACTTTATCCAACCTTGTACTCTGATAATCCTTCACAGATACCAGAACCAGCATTTCCCTGCAAAGCACAAGCAGTTTGAAATCCTCCTTTCTAAAGAAAACTGAGTTTCAGCTTTCCAGACATTTCCAAAACCTGCAAGAACAAGAAGAGAAAACACAGGGTGACCCACCTGACTTAGCTTCTTGTAAGCACAATTTACTCCACTAATCAAAACCATGTTGGGCATCAAGGGTTTTGGGAAGTGCAAGACAAAGTCCAGCTTCATGAGCCAGATGGAAGCCTGGCGCAGGAGATCCGGCACGGTCACCTCCCGCTTGAGGAACTCTGAAGCCAGTTCTGCATAAGGTTGGAAGACAACATCGCAGAGGAAGAAATTTGGGATGTCATAGAGCATGTTCTTCACCCGCTGGAGAAAGGTCATGCGGTCTGTAAGGTCTGTAAATACTCTGGGAACATAGGAAGGGGGATTGGGACACTGCGTGGCTTGATATTCCAAACCACATGGAATTTGCTGCAGGAAATACACGGAAGGCAGGGAAAGATACTCGGCCAGTATTGCCCCACATGGGAGGATAGGGTCTGTGAGGATGGCATCAAACTTGCTCTCCTCAAGGTACCTGATGAGCTCCTTGTTCTGAATTAAGTGTGTGCAGGTGGCCAGGAACAGAGCAGAGGTCTTCTTTGCCTGTTGGTACTGTCTAATAACTCTTTCCAGAAAAGGTCCTCCTTTAAATAAATCCATTACTGATCCTTTGAAAACTGTATCCTGTTCTTCCTGAGTGAAAGGCACTGGGTAAAATTTCATCACAAAGGTCTTGGATGGTTTGATCTGTAGGGAAACTTCAGGTGCCACCACAACCACCTCGTGTCCCTTCTGCTGGAGCATGTCCAGCATCTCCCGCATGCTCAGCCAGTGGCTCCCATCCACCGGCACCACCAGGAGCTTCCCAGCAGCAGCCAGACTCAGCAGGGACAGGAGCAGAAGCACAACTGGTGTGGAAGCACTGAGCCCTGGGGCCATTCCTGCAGGGATCAGCTGAGTGCCTCCAGGGAAGGAAACCCGCAGCAGCACAGGAGCTCTGGCACTTGCTCCGTGCTTCTAAGCAATCTGTGCTATGGCCCAACTTTGTATCCTTGCTTTATCTGCCGTGTGGTAAATGTGTAATCCCTGATGTGATAAAAGGCTGCATAACCAGCAAACAGAGTTCAGGCAGCTGATAAATTTGAGGGATGCACCAGATAAGCCTCGTGTTTCTATTAAGAAAATTTTAGCAGCTCTGCCATCTTTGAGCACCACCTGCCAAGCCACTGTGGCTGCTCAGACTCCTGAAATTTGCTGCTAGACTGCAAAATGCCATAACCATTATTTTCCTAGATCTGCCTGCAAACAGAAGGGCTGCTTCTCAACCTGAGAGCCCCCAGCCTGACACCTTCCTTCAGATTCCAGCTTTGGAAATACCCAGGTGAAGAAGCACAAAAATTTACCAGCAAAGAATGACGTAGTGAGGCAACAAGGACAGAAGCCTGAGGTGCATTTCTCAGTAAACACCAGACCCAACTACAACAATTTGCTAATTAGGGATTGCACCTGACTGCAAGGCTTTCACAGCCCCACAGACGTGTTCGTCACTCACTAAGACACCACCAAGTTACACAGTCACACAAGGTGGCTCTGAATACGTGAAATGAAAACAGCAAATGCAGAGCACACTTTAGAGGTGAGAAGGTACAGGACTGCTGCATACAAAAGGAAAGGGAGAGAAAAATTCCTGAGCATTCATGTAACCACCTGGCATGGGAACGCGATTGTCATCTGCAACACAAGATTCAAGCCTCCTGAACTCCGCGATCCATCACAGCACAAATTAAAAACAGAGTGTGACCCACCTGAGGCAGCTCCTTGTGAGCACAGTTTACTCCTCCAATTGGAATGATGTTGGGCATCAAGGGTCTTGGATAGTCTAGCACAAATTCCGACCTCAGGAGCCAAACAGAGCCCTTCCGTAAGAGATCCTGCACAGTCACCTCCCTCTGCAGGAACTCTGAAGCCAGTTTTGAGTAGGGTTCAAAGGCAAAATCACAGAGGAAAAGGTTTTGGGTGTCAAAGAGCAGATTCTTCACCCGCTGGAAAAAGGTCATTTGGTCTGTCAGTTGTGAAAATGACCTGGGCACATAGGAAGGTGGATTGGGACACTGAGTGGCTTCAAAATCTAACCCACATGGGATTCCTCGTAAGAAAAACACAGAAGGAAGGGAAAGATGCTCAGCCAGGATCACCCCACAAGGTATTACAGGGTCTGTAAGAATGGCATCAAACTTGCTCTCCTCAAGGTACCTCATGAGCTCTTTGTTTTGCAGGAGACTTGTACAGCTGGAGAATCCAAAATCAGTGAATTTTTTCACAGCTTCAAATACTTTAAAATATCTTTCCAGAAAAGATCCTTCTTCAAACATGATATGGAAAAATTCCTTCAATGCATTGTCCATCTCTTTCTGGGAGTAGGGGACCGGGTAAAATTTCATCACAAAGTTCTCTGATGGTTTGATGTGCAAGGAGACTTCGGGTGCCACCACGACCACCTCGTGTCCCTTCTTCTGGAGCATGTCCAACCCCTCCCGCATGCTCAGCCAGGGGCTCCCATCCACCCATGTCACCAGGAGCTTCCCAGCAGCAGCCAGACCCAGCAGGGACAGGAGCAGAAGCACAACTGGTGTGGAAGCACTGAGCCCTGGGGTCATTCCTGCAGGGATCAGCTGAGTGCCTCCAGGGAAGGAAACCCGCAGCAGCACAGGAGCTCTGGCACTTGCTCCGTGCTTCTAAGCAATCTGTGCTATGGCCCAACTTTGTATCCTTGCTTTATCTGCCGTGTGGTAAATGTGTAATCCCTGATATAATAAAAGGCTGCATAACCAGCAACAGAGTTCAGGCAGCTGATAAATTTGAGGGATGCACCAGATAAGCTTCGTGTTTTATAACAAAACATTTGGCACTTTTGTCATATTTGAGCGCCACCTGCCAAGCCACTGTGGCTGCTCAGACTCCTGAAATTTGCTGCTAGTTTGGATACTCTAGCACAAACTCCAACCTCAGGAGCCAAACAGAGCCCTTCCGTAAGAGATCCTGCACAGTCACCTCCCTCTGCAGGAACTCTGAAGCCAGTTTTGAGTAGGGTTCAAAGGCAAAATCACAGAGGAAAAGGTTTTGGGTGTCAAAGAGCAGATTCTTCACCCGCTGGAAAAAGGTCATTTGGTCTGTCAGTTGTGAAAGTGACCTGGGCACATAGGAAGGAGGATTGGGACACTGAGTGGCTTCAAAATCTAACTCACATGGGATTCCTCGTAAGAAATAGACAGAAGGAAGGGAAAGATGCTCAGCCAGGATCACCCCACAAGGTATTACAGGTTCTGTAAGAATGGCATCAAACTTGCTCTCCTCAAGGTACCTCATGAGCTCTTTGTTTTGCAGGAGACTTGTACAGCTGGAGAATCCAAAATCAGTGAATTTTTTCACAGCTTCAAATACTTTAAAATATCTTTCCAGAAAAGATCCTTCTTCAAAAAGGCAAAATCACAGAGGAAAAGGTTTTGGGTGTCAAAGAGCAGATTCTTCACCCGCTGGAAAAAGGTCATTTGGTCTGTCAGTTGTGAAAGTGACCTGGGCACATAGGAAGGAGGATTGGGACACTGAGTGGCTTCAAAATCTAACTCACATGGGATTCCTCGTAAGAAATAGACAGAAGGAAGGGAAAGATGCTCAGCCAGGATCACCCCACAAGGTATTACAGGGTCTGTAAGAATGGCATCAAACTTGCTCTCCTCAAGGTACCTCATGAGCTCTTTGTTTTGCAGGAGATGTTCACAACTGCTGACTGCCAAATTACCGAGTCTTTTCATATGTTGGTACACTTTAAAAAATCTTTTCAGAAAAGGCCCTTCTTCTAATGAAGTTTGTAGAAACATCTTGAAATCTTTCTCCATCTCTTCCTGCGTGATGGGGCCGGAGTGCCTTTTCATCACAAAGTTCTTTGATGGTTTGATGTGCATGGAGACTTCGGGTGCCACCACGACCACCTCGTGTCCCTTCTTCTGGAGCATGTCCAGCACCTCCCGCATGCTCAGCCAGTGGCTCCCATCCACCGGCACCACCAGGAGCTTCCCAGCAGCAGCCAGACCCAGCAGGGACAGGAGCAGAAGCACAACTGGTGGAGAAGCACTGAGCCCCAGGGCCATTCCTGCAGGGATCAGCTGAGGGCCTCCAGGGAAGGAAATCCCCAAGAGCACCAGAGCACTGGCAGGAGGTTTGTGCAGAGATTTATCAGCACTTTTGAGGGGGTCTTTTCACAGAACAATTCAGGACCTAGTTCTGGCATTGTTTTAATCACAGACATAGCACCCATGGTGTCCAGCAGTGGTGGAGTTGTGTGAATACTCACGTGGCCAATCCCAGTGCGTACAGGGATGTCTGTCACATGTCACAGCCGCCCCCCAATGTGGGGATGGGTGGAATAGCCACAGCAGCTTTGGGATCCCACCCTACACCACACAAATCCTAAGGAATATGAATGAAGAGAAAGCCAGGGCACCAAAAGCACTCATCCAAATTCTCAGGCTCACCTCTGGAGCAGCAGAGGAGGCTGTCCAGCAGGCCCTGTGCCCAGGGCTCTTGTCAGCATCCCAGGGAACCCAAGCACATGGCATATTTGACTGGTTGGTATCATGGGCAAGACTGCAGCTAATCCCTCAGTGTCAGTCAAGCCTTGCTGGATGTGTCACATCATACCTGCTCCAGGCATCAGATCTGGGCTTTGGAGCCAGAAAAATGTTTTTAAGTTTCTCTGGGAGATCCCATTGGAACTGCTCATTATACAAAACCAAAACTTTGTTCTACTGTCCACAAATGCTCAGAATCCCTTTGGCTGGCAGAATCAATGTCACATCACAGATCCTTAGTACAGGGTCACAAGAAGACCCTGGTGTTTACCTACAACTGCAAACCAATTAAAAGCCAGAAGGAACAGCTGCCTACAAAGGATGTGGAAAGTCAGCAAGAAAGTGGGAGGAAAACAGTACCTTTACTGAGGATTCACCTCACTCATTAGAAACCTGAGTGAAATGGGAACTTCGTTTCTATCGCAACCCAGAATTCCACCTTCCTAAACACAGAAATCAATCAAGGCACAGATTAAGACCCACCTGAGGCAGCACCTTGTGAGCACAGTTTACTCCTCCAATTGGAATGATGTTCGGCATCAAGGGTCTTGGATACTCTAACACAAATTCCAACCTCAGGAGCCAAACAGAGCCCTTCCGTAAGAGTTCCACCACAGTCACCTCCCTCTGCAGAAACTCAGAAGCCAGTTTTGAGTAGGGTTCAAAGGCAAAATCACAGAGGAAAAGACTTGGGATGTCAAAGAGCAAATTCTTGACTCGCTGGAGAAAGGTCATGTGGTCTGTAAGGTCTGTAAACACCCTGGGCACATAGGAAGGAGGACTGGGACACAGCCTGGCATCTAAGTCTAACCCACACGGGACTCCTCGTAAGAAATAGACAGAAGGAAGGGAAAGATGCTCAGCCAGGATCAACCCACAAGTTGCTACAGGGTCTGTAAGGATGGCATCAAACTTGCTCTCCTCAAGATACCTGATGAACTCTTTGTTTTGCAATAGCTGCTCACAGCTGGTGACCCAACAATCAGTGAGAGTTTTCATACCTTTGTGCAATTTAAATAATCTCTTCAAAACCCAACCTTCTTCAAATGAACCATGAAAAAAGGCCTGGAATGCTTTATCCAACTCTTCCTGTGTGAAGGGGACCGGGTACATTTTCATCACAAAGTTCTTTGATGGTTTGATGTGCAAGGAGACTTCAGGTGCCACCACAACCACCTCGTGTCCCTTCTGCTGGAGCATGTCCAGCATCTCCCGCATGCTCAGCCAGTGGCTCCCATCCACTGGCACCACCAGGAGCTTCCCAGCAGCAGCCAGACTCAGCAGGGACAGGAGCAGAAGCACAACTGGTGGAGAAGCACTGAGCCCCGGAGCCATTCCTGCAGGGATCAGCTGAGGGCCTCCAGGGAAGGAAATCCCCAAGAGCACCAGAGCTCCAGCACCCAGTCTGTGCTTTCAAGTGTGCTGTGGCACAGCCCAACCGTGGATCTTTATTTAATGTGCTGGGCGGTGAATGTGTAATCCCTGATATGATAAAAGGTTGCCTACCAAGCACAGAATTCCTGCCAAGTCCACAGAATCACCAGATAACTCCCATCTATCTCTATCAGAGGAACAGTAAAGAGTGCCCCAGGAAGGAGGCAGGGGTGGCTCTGGGACGGCACTTTGGTTCCTTCCCTCTGGCTGGACCTTCCGCATGTTCAGGAGATGTGTCACGTGTAGGAGATGTGTCACATGCACATCACTGTTCAGACCTGCAGAGGCTTCTCCTTTCCCACAATCCAGGCCTGTCCCCTCTCACTTGGAAAACTCATCTGTAGGTGACCCAGACCACACAGCAGCTGTGGAACAGCTCTTTAAGATGATTTCCAGCCTGAGATGACAGGAGAGGTGGAAGAATGATGCCAGGTTTCTGTGCAGAGATTTACAAACTCTCTTTGAGGGTGACTTCCCACAGAACACTTCAGAGCCTAATTCTGGCCTTGGTTTTGTCCCTGACAAAGCACCCATGGTGTCCAGCCATGGTGGAGTTGTGTGAATGCTCAGGTGGCCAATCCCATTGTACACAGGGATGTCCATAAATTGTCACAGCTATCTCTGTACTTCAAGCTGGGTGGAATTGCCACACATTGGGCTTTGTGATCCCACCCTGCACCACACAACTCCTATGGAATATGAATTAAGAGAAAGCCAGGGCACCAAAAGTACTCACCCAACTCTCCAGGCTCTCCCCCAGAGAAGAACAGAAACTGTCCAGGAGGAACTCTCACAGGGCTCTTGCCAGCATCCCAGGGAACCCAAGCACACGGCACATTGGAGCAGTTGGTATCATGCACAAGGCTACACCCAAACCCTCACTGCCAGTCAAGCTGTAATGGATGTGTTAAATCAGACCTGCTCCAGGCATCAGGGATGGGATTTGGAGCCAGGAAAGAGTTTCTAACAGTCTCTGGAACATCCCATTGGAGACGGTCATTAAAGGAACCCTACACTTTGTCCTACGGTCCACAAATTCTGACAATCCCTTTGCTGGTGGCATCAACAGCCATCATAGACCTTCACCAGAAGACCCTGGTGATTCCCTTCAACTGCAAACCAATTAAAAGCCAGAAGGAACAGCTGCCTACAAAGGATGTGGAAAATCAGAAGTGAGAGAAAAACAGTTCCTTTCGTGAGGATTCAGCTCACTCACCCAAAAAAGAAACTTGATTCCTATCACAACAGAGAATTCCACCCTCCTGAACACAGAAACCAATCATGGCATGAATTAAAACAGAGTGTGACCCACCTGAGGCAGCTCCTTGTGAGCACAGTTTACTCCTCCAATTGGAATGATGTTGGGCATCAAGGGTCTTGGGTAGTCTAGCACAAAATCTAACCTCAGGAGCCAAACAGAGCCCTTCCGTAAGAGTTCCAGCACAGTCACTTCCCTCTGCAGGAAGTCTGAAGCCAGTTTTGAGAATGGGTCAAAGGCAAAATGACAGAGGAAAAGCTTTGGGATGTCAAACAGCAGATTCTTGACTCGCTGGAGAAAGGTCATGCGGTCTGTAAGGTCTGTAAACACCTTGGGCACATAGGAAGGAGGATTTGGACACTGAGTGGCATCAAAATCCAACCCACATGGGATTCCTCGTAAGAAATAGACAGAAGGAAGGGAAAGATGCTCAGCCAGGATCACCCCACAGGGCACGAAAGGGTCTGTAAGGACAGCATCAAACTTGCTCTCCTCAAGGTACCTCATGAGCTCTTTGTTTTGCAAGAGCTGTTCACAGCTGGAGACCCAAAAGTTACCGAGTCTTTTCATACCTTCAAGTAAGTGAAAAAATCTGCCAAAAAAAGTTCCTTCTTCAAATGAACCATGAAAAAATGCTTTGAAATCTTTATCCATCTCTTCCTTTGTGTAGGGAACTGGGTACATTTTCATCACAAAGTTCTTTGATGGTTTGATGTGCATGGAGACTTCGGGTGCCACAACAACCACCTCATGTCCCTTCTGCTGGAGCATGTCCAGCATCTCCCGCATGCTCAGCCAGTGGCTCCCATCCACTGGCACCACCAGGAGCTTCCCAGCAGCAGCCAGACTCAGCAGGGACAGGAGCAGAAGCACAACTGGTGGAGAAGCACTGAGCCCCGGAGCCATTCCTGCAGGGATCAGCTGAGGGCCTCCAAGGAAGGAAATCCCCAAGAGCACCAGAGCTCCAGCACCCAGTCTGTGCTTTCAAGTGTGCTGTGGCACAGCCCAACCGTGGATCTTTATTTAATGTGCTGGGCGGTGAATGTGTAATCCCTGATATGATAAAAGGTTGCCTACCAAGCACAGAATTCCTGCCAAGTCCACAGAATCACCAGATAACTCCCATCTATCTCTATCAGAGGAACAGTAAAGAGTGCCCCAGGAAGGAGGCAGGGGTGGCTCTGGGACGGCACTTTGGTTCCTTCCCTCTGGCTGGACCTTCCGCATGTTCAGGAGATGTGTCACGTGTAGGAGATGTGTCACATGCACATCACTGTTCAGACCTGCAGAGGCTTCTCCTTTCCCACAATCCAGGCCTGTCCCCTCTCACTTGGGGAGTTCATCTCTAGGAGATGAAAGCTCATCTGTAGGTGGCCCAGACCACAGAGCAGCTGTGGAACAGTTCTTTAAGATGATTTCCACCCTGAGATGACAGGAGAGGTGGAAGGATGATGCCAGGTTTCTGAGAAGAGATTTATGAACTCTTGTATTAGTTTCACACATTCTGGCTTTTACTGGGGGCAGAGGAAGCCACAGAGGCTACTTTTGAGAGAGAAGCTCATCAAAACTTCCACTCCATCCAGGAGAGCCAATCTCTGAAGGCTTTGACAACTGACACATTGGCCAATTCGAATAGTAACGCCTCTGAGAAGACATAATTAAGAATGAGAAAATGCATTAAAGTCCTCTTTCCTCCTCTCCTGTGCGGGGTGGTGAGGGGACCACTGTGCTCTTCCCAGCCTGGCCAGGGCTGTGCCACAGGGTGGAGTCGTCCCAGTGCTGTGAGTAGCCACACAGCTGATGCCATGTGCTCAGGTCAGGCGCTGGGAGTGCTCATGCAGCCAGGGCTATGCGTGCAAGATCCACAGTGAACTGTGCTTTCTTTGCCACTTTCAGCTAGCCGTGCTGTGGGCAGAAGAGACAGGAGTGGCGGAGCGGCTTTTCCTTTTTGGCACCTGTGAAAGACGGTCTGAAGTTCCCTTCATTTGCCTCACGACCTTTGCAAGGACAGAGACGGGGACCCTGAGGACCCTGATCGGAATTCTGGCCTACCAGTGGTGGATGTACGCCAAGATCCTGAGGCCCCTGAGCAGAATTGTGGCCTGCCAAGTGATTGTTCTCACCTGTGCCTACCGTGACTGCTTCTAGCAGGGCCTGTCAGGGGCAACATGCCTTATATGTTTACACCTGCTTCGTGACAATAGCCCAGGAATTTTCCCACCTCTTGGCCAAATAAACTCGCTGGGGCAATTTTGGTCATCCCTCCACAGAAAGCCCTTCATCTGCTTCACTACCACTGTGACGGATAGAGACTGAAGCCCCCTCCCAAGGACTGAGACCCCTATAATTCTGATACGGGGGGTGCCAGCTAAGTGTTGCCTGCAGATGTGTTCACTGGACCTAGTTTCCCATAGAAACCAGTCCTGAAACAATGGGTCCTGCTCACTGCTGATATTGACTTAGCCTACAGAGAACATGGACTGTCTGTACCCGTTTTCAATACCTTTTCCCCCTCAGCAATTTCAATAGGTTTATTATTTATTGTGTCTGTCCCCCTCAGTGATTTCAAGAATGTTTCCCCCCACTCAGCAAAGGACTATAATAGATCCCTGAGTTAACCAGGATTTTGATATCTCCCCGACGTGACAATTCTCCCCGTGTATGGACCACCAAAGATTTCCTCTCTAAGTTTGGTAGGTATACTCCCTCTCTCTTTCTCTCTCTCTCTTTTATCTCCTTTCTAAATCCCTCTGTCGCATTTCCTGTGGGCATTCAATAAAAGTGCATTTGTTTTGACTGATACTGCAATCCCCTCTCCGTGCTGTTTTTGCACTCTGAGATCAGTTAACGAACCATCACGATTCCCCCGCTTGTACGAGTGGATCACGACAGCACCTCGCATGAGGAGAGGCGCTGAGCGAAGCCGGCAGCCGGTGTGGCTGGCATGGTGCTGGGGGCAGCCATGTGACCAGCAACGAGGGGCATGGCGAGCAATTCCCCCATGTGGGGCCTGGATGAGATCAACCTTTCAGTGCTGCAGGACTCTATAAAACTTTTCAATTAACAGAATGTGAGAAGAAATGGACATTCGGACGGCAATTCTCTCGCAAGTCAGAGAAAAGGGAAGACTGAAAATGTGAGGTGAACAACATGGCGACACTAAGGTCAGTGAAAAGGAGGGATGGGGAGGAGGAGGTGCTCCGGGCCTCAGAGCTGAGATTCTTCTGCATGCTGTGGTGAGGTCTAAAAAACAACAGTTTTCCTCTAATTTATGAAGTGCACAGGGGAATTCAGAGTTCACCTGCAGCCTGTGTGTTACAGACATATTTTATGAAAAATCCTTTTGCCAGGATCTTTTCTCCGGAGAAGGTGGGAAGCTTTAGCTTCTCCATGTTTTGCTGCTTTGGAATGTGATTTGGAGAATTGTTTACCCAGCATATGAAATTGTTTTTACTTGATGACCAATGACAGCCACCTGTGTCGAGGCTGTGAGCAGTCACAAGATTTTATTATCATTCCTTTTCTTTCCTTTCCAGCCTTCTGATGGATCCTTTCTTTCTATTCCTTTTAGTATAGTTTTAGCACAGCATTTTAATATAAGATAATATCATAATATAATAAACCAGCCTTCTGGAACATGGAG